TAATACGAAAATATCATTATAATATGGACCAAACCGGATCTTATATTGATCATGATACAATTTATTATCTTTAAGAGAGGATTCTCCCAAATAATGAACATCTAGGAATATGGACTATGCATGAACTTGGAGAAGAAAACTGCGTTACGCAAGTTGATAGAGTTTCATTTTTCTATTTTTCTCCACCGTTAAAAAAAATATTGGAAGTTCCTCCAAAAGTATTGAAATTGAACACATGAAAAGTTTGATTTTGACATTGTGTTATTAAATCTTAATTATCAATAACAATGAACAAGATCAACTTGCTGATAGATTGAAATGACATTTACTATGAGACACTGTTAACATCTGATTGACGTGATTATGATTCACGCTGAATAGGCAAATTCATAAATTATGAAACAAGATATTCAGTGCAGATAAGTTGGAAAAGTGCGTGTAAATAAAATTAACCGTGATGTGAATTATCAGCCACTGTTAAAATAGTAAATAAAACTATATGAAATAATAGTATACATGAACATTTGCTATATTATTGACTCAATTAATGCAGAAAGCATGCTAGACAAAATGCAATGACCAAGTCCCTATCAGTCAACCATAGTGGCATTGAACTTAAATTCAGGGAAGAGAAGATACCCTACCCTTTGTGTAGAGCACCTGCACCGGCTCATAATGTTCTGCCATAGCATGAGTATGATTATAACCTTTCATCCTTCTTCATACCCTAAAAAATTCGCTGTATATACATAGTAGCCAAGAAAGATGGCAGCTAACATAGTCCCTATCTGTGCCTAGAGGGGCATTCATGATCTGTAGCAGGTAGCTACTAGCTAGAACCCAAAAAAGTAAAATAAAATACAATTTTAATGAAGAGGTAACCATAAATTGATGTCTACATAATGGACTGACCAATAAAAAAAAGTCAAACTCAACTCTAGATTAATGTGTATTTTGCATCGAAAATCATGACACAACGCCAAAATCGACCAATATTCTGAAATGTGAGTGTTATATATCATAAACTTTATTAGCGGGTCCTTTGAGATAATGTCAAAACTCAAACGTGATCAATGCATCAAAGGTGAAATCCCTGTATTCTCATGACAGGGCCAGCTTTAACCAAGTTTTTGGAGATTTTTTTTACTATAAACTTGTGAAGTTCAGATTTATTTCCTCGAAAAGGAAGCCATTGTTTCACTAATTAACGGAAATGTAGCCATAATAGGGTTGGCTAATTGTTCATGTTTTTCTAGGGCCCTCTCCCTAGGAATATTGCAAAGCATTAAATGACATGTTGATGGGACCATGGAAGACTTTTTGAGTCGGCTTGAGCAGTCACATGAACGTATGAAGTTCTAGCAAGTGCTTGGTGGAATTTGACTTTGAAGACAAATGACATGCATAGAAGCAAATCAAGCTATGGCTCCAAGCTACCAATCACACTAAAAAACTATCTATACTATATATACCAAAAAAGGAAAGAGTAGAAATTTTGAGTTACAAGTGGAATTAATCATTTTTTTAAATTTTAAAAAATGTTGATGTATAACATAAATAATAAAATATGGGAAAGAGCAAGGCAACAATTAAGCATCAACTAATGCATCAAAATCAAACATGATATTTCAAAAAGAAGTGGGAGAAAGACTCCACTTCCTCCTCTATTTTTTATACCCTATAAATAGCTTGAGATAAATGAGTGGCATAATGATAAAACGAGTATTAAACAGGATATATAATTATTAAATTCATTTGTAAATGCATGTTTACAAGATTAGTTTCAGGTAAAATGGATCCCAAGACGTGACTCAACTGAGAATTTAAATTATCACAGTAAGAGCACCATCAAATACCTGAGTTGCGATTAGTCACACATAGTAAAGGCATAGAAGCACTTGATAGGATAAAAAAAAAAAAGCCTGGATGAAGATAGCTTTTGGGTGAGTATACATTGTAGTTAACATGCAGTAACTGTTTGATTTGATACGAGTAGTCCATGGTCACAAGTATCACCAAGATATTTCTTCCCACTGATGACTGGCTTAACGAAATTTATACCAAATCCAACCTCATTTTTTCACATCTTAAAGAAGTTAGAATCTCACATTCAGTTATATACATAAAAAAACTCAAAACTCTACCAAACAGATAAAAAGTGAAACACTTGAACTCTTGAAATGCCGAAATGATAAACTCATTTTACAGCCGTGCAAAGAGGACACTGCTGGAATTTCCTAGAATGGTTCACCGTCTGTGGACTGTATTTCATCTTATGGCATATAACTGATGTCCGCCATACTTCACCTCAACCACTCAACTTCGTGAACTCAAACATTACCAAGACAACAATTTTATTATCTCGAGTAGTAGTTGTCCTGGTCCCTTCCTATTCTCTGAATTTCCATTGAAAAAAAAAAGTTAATTAAAAAGAAGAAAGAGAAGAAAAAAAAAGGATAAATAGCCAAATTGGTCCTAAAAAATGTCAAACACTTTTTTACCTAAAATTAATAATAATTTTAGTCCCTAAATATTATAAAAATGAGATATTTTTAGTTCTTATATAACACAAACAAACAGCCACGTGGATTTAGCAGCAATTTTTACTAAGAAAGCCATCAGAAAATTTCAGTTTCAAATAAGTAGGCCTTGTACTGCACCAACTTGGTTAGCACTTTGGAGATATCATGAAAGAAACATTGCAGTTCAAATTTGTTAACCAGTGAAATTTTCGTGGTGGTTGCCTCATCTATGAGAACAGGACTTTGGTTTTTCAACTTCCTTTCTTTTTTGGCTAATGTATACCAAAAAGGGCAAAAAGATTTCTGTTTTTTGGCCAGGGATCATTTATTGTACAAAATCTAGGATTTTAACAGGAGAAAACACAACAGAGATAGAGAAATATTTTATCACCATGTTTAAGGATGATTACAATATATGGTTAAGACAGTTTAAAATATGGGATATGGCAAAATAAATCTTGGATCACTATAAAACGTGGTGAAAAATGCTTGTGTACTTGGAAGTAATACATCAACGAATCAAATAAAACATGAGACACATAAATTGAACTTATGCCATTGGATTAACTATAGAAAGAAAGAAATCGTTTAATACACGCTTTTTGTATAACGTGTGTTACGGTCTGTGGTGCAGCACTGATCAACCAAAGACGATCTTCACGAGACCAAGTTGTAGCTGACGTGGGTCACATCATAATATAAGTCAAATGCTTCAGGCAATAAAATATAGAGAAAAATTTCAATCTGGAATAGACCGTTTGATGGCGGCCTACTTCAGTTGGTTTGAAGTTAAGATCTCCGTGCATCAAATATTGTATAGGGGTCGCTGACTACATCTACCTTGCTGAAGTGAGAGCACTTACTGTGTTATCCCCCCACCCTCGTTGCACTCCAAAGTGATGGAACAAATAATGTTATAATAGCAGCAGTAACTTAGAAATGGTAGTTTTTTTTTCCCATACTGTAAATATCATTGAGAGAAGACAATTTTACTTAGAACCAAGATTATTATTGACAACAATTTTTTAAACATTTGTGTATAGAAAATTGAGTTTCAATAAGAAAATAACCAATTAACATTTGCTCCACAGCCTATTGTATGCATGATCTTTATCACGGCGAAGATTAGAACATAATTAAACTAGAACTAAAAGAACTCTTCAAAGGGATCTCTTAGTAAAAAATAATAAAATAAAATGTGGCATTACAACAGATAAAGAGGATGACTTCACCAACTTGTACTGTGAAAGCCTTCTTTCAATTATTTACTGTTCTTGGTGTACGGTAAGATGCTTACCAAGCTAAAATAATTGATTCATTCCGAGGTAGCTTTGTGTAGTTCATCCCACGTGGCTAGTTTTTCCCTAGGCTTGTTTCTTGAACTTCCAAGCCTCCTCTCTTCAGAGTCTATCTTTTCCCATTCACTGAATGAAACTATTCTGACATTTCTATTACCCAGGAGCTGAAGAAGACCATCTCTGCCTGGTTTCGGCGAGGCTGATGATAAAATCAACACTCCTTTTTCAAGGTCTTCTGATATGCTCGAAACCTAACATGTCGATTATCAGCAAAAAATACATGACTAATATAATCACATGCAAACAAACCTTAGCTAAAAAATGAATCTAACATTAATGTTGTATACAGGTTCTTTATGAAGAACTACAACTAACATCAACTAATACAATGGAATCATAACAATTCAACTATGAGCTTGTTTGGATAAATCAAAATCAACCGATGTATCTCAACTTTTTCTTGAAACTCTTATCTAACTTCTCCATATGCACTTATAAACTTAATTTATTGCATTAGCAAAGTTTTAATAACAAGGTTTTACAATTTAAAAGCTCCCATAAACTATAAGCTAATTCAAATTCGGCCTAAGTTCAACAAATCTAATTGACTGAATTAATAAAAATGTTATCGTCACAAGCAGGATCTTTGCATTATGCATGACCTAATATTACCCACATCCTTTCTAGTCTTCCTTTAACAATGCAGCGTAATGCCTTAGCTCAGGGTATTAAATAACTTACATTCATGCACAATCTGTTTCAACCTTAAAAAAACAAGTTATTATGAATGGATAATTAACAACCTAACTACCAACAGCTCTAATCGAGCTCAGACCTTCAGACTCAGACTTAAGAATTCCAAGAAAACATGCAAAACTGTAGGCTCCACCAGCATACCAGGCAGAAGTCATTTAAGTATATCAATAACCTAGTCATTTTATTATGATTGATTTCATTGTGATCTTGTTACTTCTGTCAGTTTAACTGTTTTAGGAATAATAGAAAAGCGGGAGACACGTACAGTTTCTTCAGCACAATATAGGTTTGTGGCAATAATTCCAGTTGGTCCTCTCTTAAGCCAACCACATACATACAAGCCCCTTTCAAGAACTGAAGGATCTGAACTGTCACTCAACACTCGACCTCTATCATTTGGAACTATACCTGAAAGGAAGCCATCATATATACAGTTATGAGCTCCAATTAGATGACACATTTACACACATCCACACATAATGTTTCTTGGCTAATGTCTGAAAAACACCAATGCAAAAGAATAATAATTTAACAAAAGGAGAACCTGCAAAGCAGGGAGGTTAGGGATCCTCCAAAGTCCCAAACCTAAAGCTACATTGAAAAGAACAGAGGAAAGAAAGTAAATAAAAAAAATGTGATAACGTGAACACAAAAGAGCAACCCAATCCATTTACAAGTGCCGTCTAGACACACCTTTGAAAACACAAATACTAAAATGAAACACACTAGAGCAATTAACATTAATTATTCTGGTTTTTTTTAAGGTTCAAGAGTTAAGCTACCCAAGTACTGTTCTATTGCCACATAAAATTATGATCAACTGATAAGTCTGACATGATCACGGTCCAACCAAACAATATATTGTACAAAATCCTGTTATCAACAAGACCATATGTCCTGTGGCCAATATTAAACAAAATCACATCATATTGAAAAGAAAAAAAAATGCTGAAGACTCAAGAGAACATAAACTCCATCTAACAAGATTAAAAAAAATCATAAATGCTATTTTTGTTTTCATTTTCCAATAGAAACCTTGAACAACAAAACTACACTTATTTCCAAAACCAGCAGAATTTTTTCTAGAACCAATCATATTTTGAAACAAAGGTTGATTTAAAGATGTCTTCTCCACAAGAAAATACATAACATGAAATTGATTAAAAAAAAAAACGTATAATTACATTGACCTACCCAAGATTAGTGATACTTACACTTTAGACCCTGCTTTATTCCGAAATTACACCTACCTCCCCAGCACATCTCCAGCTTTGTTCTTTTTAAGGGTACTATGTGTATGATACGAAAAAAATAGGGAAAGTATGTGTAATTTTTTTAAAAAATGGGTATCAACATGAAAGAATATTGAAATTTTCAAATCAAGCGAGGTCAAAGTGTAATTACCAGTACCACTAACCTAGAGGGAGGTCATTGTAATTATCCCTAAAAATGGACATAAAGTGGATGGATTGAGAACATCCGTCATTCATTCACCTTTCTTGTGATCAAAAGGTAAGCCATCAACTGGTACTGATTTATAACCTATGCTCTTAAGAACCATCCTACAAAAAGCCAGCAAGTTGTGACATAGTAAGTACTCTCAACATTTTGGGATAACAACACACTAACACAGGAATAAAAATCTTTAAGAGGCCACATTCAGTCATTTGCAGAGCATAATATCAATCTTTGTACATTATGGAGGATATTGAGTATTGTAACCAATGCATCTTTGATTACAATGATACTAGCAGAAAGGGCTTCAAGCCAAGTGATGACAATATTCACAACTAAGAATCTTTGTAATTTTATAAGATTTCCTGGGTAAGTTGATACCCGCATTTTATATCTTCAAATTCTCCAGCACCAACAGCAATCTGTTTTCCAGGTTCAACACCTGCAAAATTAAGTTTACTAATCATTAATTATAATTAATTCACTGCACAAAAATAGACTATTATGGACTTAAACATGCTAGTATCTAGCAAAGCTTCAAGAAAGGCTATATTTTAACATTTTAGGAAATTGCAGTAAAGCATATATCTGCAATTGGGTTACTGCAATAAATTATTCCAATTTATAATTATTAACTATATTATGTTACATTATGGCCCATGTTGTAAAGCTTTAACTTCAAAGTAGCAAAATAAATACGGGCAAACAAAAATTACTTTTAAGAACTGTCTTCTCAAAGTGCACACCAGAAACATGGCCACCTCTGTCTCTTAATTCTTGAAAACTATCTGGCTTACGGAAGAAGACAAAATTGAGCTCACGTTTGTTTGAACCAACATGTTTGGGCTTTGAAGTAGCTGCCTTAGAAAGCAACTCATAAACTCTTCTCTGTATTCGGTTACTCTTAAGTTCTTCCTTTGTCAAGTGACAGCATCAACACAAAGATAATATCAGTGAAAAGGAATAAAAAAAAAATTTTAATCATAAAACACCTAAAGGGTTCATAAAAAAGATATAAAACATGAAAATAAAACTGAAGGTAATAAGAAAACATATACTAGTTAGGGATTCCTTTTATGTTTTTGGGGTCAAGATTATTGAAAAACAGTGATGAAAGAACAAAAATTATATTCATCTAATACCTCGTCAGCTGGCGTTAAAAGTAGATCAGATTCCAGAATTGAAATATCAAGGTTATGAATGCCTGTAATGTAAATAGACGTCCTTCAGTTACCGTCAAGTGTCAGACAGGACTGGCATAAAACTCACAGTATATGACAAAGGATAAATTAATTGGAATTGATTTGCACCAATACAGATTAGGATGAGAAACCAATAGTCCAGTAGGACATGGCAGATAGTGGGCCAAAAACCAAGATCAGGGTTCCATTTTTAGTTAAAACTGTAATCTTAAGGTCTGAAATGGTTTTAAATCAGTGGCAAATGAGTACTAAAAACAGGTGTAAAGAAATTAGCACAAATATCCATAGGAAAGAAAACCAACATGAGACTGAAATCATGTAAATCAATGGAAACTAACAAGCTAAATTGACAAGGTGATCTTGAGGGATGCAAACTAAGAAGTAATAGTTTACAAAGGAAACTTCTGTATCTAATAAACAAAGGCATTATGGAATACATCATATATATAGCCAAGACATGCCTTTTTTCCAAATAGTTCCATAGAACAAAACCAAAATCAAAATATCAAACAAATATGCATAGAAAACTAAATGAATAAACTAAACCCGGTATATAAGTTGATGCATAAGTTACCAAGAACTTCACGTAGTTCTTTAGCAGTACAAGCTGCTTGAGCTGGACCACGTCTTCCAACCAAATAAACCACCCTGAAATATTGGTTATATTACAGATAAAAAATATATGAAATGAAATATCAATAAGACTGTCCAGCTACTTCAAATAATGCAACCAAAAACCTGATAGAGCTCTCCTCTAGAGTAGCCAAAGCATGACTGGCAATATCAGTTGTAGCTAACTCTACAGTAGGTCTTAAAAGAATACGTGCAACATCTAGAGCAACATTTCCCTGAAATTAAATAAAACCATTTTTACTCAAAAACCTTTAATCCAAGTCAAAAATTATATATTATGTTCCAAAATTAAACTCCCCAGGTATGTTGTGAACATTCATTACAGGTGTCTTTTCTTGGAAAATGAAACTAATATGGTAGTTCTCAACTAAGACTTGCTATAAAATTTAGGCACACAAGGTGAAGTTACCTGACCAAGGATTACAGCTGTATCAGTGCTCTTTAGGTCTGGATCAAGATTTCGTCCATCTGGATGCCCATTATACCACCAAACAAACTCTCTAGCTGAATGTATCCCTTTCAAGTTCTGAGAAGGAAGAAGAATATTAAAAAATTAAAACAAGTGTAACTCAAACTATCAGCTAATGCATAACCATTGAATATAAATAAACATTAAGTCATCACTTATACCGCAGGAAATACCAATAAAACGCAATTCTTGCAAACTATTGAAAAGCACATAAATAAAACAAGCATACTTCTCCTGGAATACCAAGACTTCTGTCACTTTCAGCACCATAAGCAAGGACAACCTGTTCAAATGCATAAAATGATTATTGAAAGGATGATGCACCTGACAAATATTTACTTGAACATGTTACCATTAACACATAAATCCAGAACCAGAGCCTCACCACATGATATAGCTCGCGTAATTCAGAGAGAGAAATGCTGGATCCAAGGATCACATTTCCAAAAAATGAGCATCGTTCATGTTGTGCCACCCTTGTAAACTGGTTGATGACAATCTGTTTCAAGTTTTCTGGTAAACTAAGCTCAATGGAGTTACTCTCATGAAAGGAAATATTGAAAACCCCAGAACCAAAAAATAACATTTTTTAAATATTTCTTTGAATAAACCTCTTCATTTCTGAAAAAATTGGCAGCAGACACTTAAGTTCCTAGAAATGCAAAAACTCCACTTCTTAAGAACACAAATGTTACTCACATCAGTCGTCCTGACACACCAAACACATTAGTACCTGACAAGGACAAATATAACCAACATTTGTGGTTCTTACGAACTAGGTTGAATCTTTTGCACTTTTAGGGACTAAAAATACACGTAGAGTTTACTCTAATGCTTTCTCTACAACACCAAAATATCAAAACCACATAATAAACAACTTCTTTTTCCTACTACCATCACATACTTTATGAAAAATACCAGTGCTAATCAATTATAATGCTCAATAGGTACAAAAGAATGCAGCAAATAATAATAAAAATAGACCTTTGTTTCAGGGTGATCGGGTGCAACACCAGAGCGGACCAACCCAAAAGGTGTAGGCAACCTGTCAATGATATCAACTTGTGCTTGTTGATGCGCCTTCAACATCTACCAAGTACCCAATTCTGTTAGGGATTACCCATTTTCAGATTTCACGCATAAGATTAGAACTTTACCTTCTCAGCAGTGTAGAAACCAGCAGGGCCACTTCCAACAACGCATACCCGCAATGGGTTTGAAGAAATGCTCGAGAAGCTCCTACAAAGCCACCTTCTTGCTTGAAAAATAGCTAATTTTTGCATGTTATTATCTGAAAAAAAAAACGGTAAATTACGCTCAAACCCTTTTGGAAAAGCTTAGCAAGGTCCAATATGCTTCGGTCACCAGCACCATCACTTGATAACATTTTTCAAAGCGGAACAGAACAGAACAGAAGCGCAACACACCTGAAGCACTGATGAGTTCAGAACAGGGATATGATGAGAGGATGAAGTGGAAATGAGATATAATAGATGTATGCGTGAAGTGAAGAGAAAATTAGGTCAAAAATATGTGTTTTCCCTTTCGGGTCGTACAACCCGATCCGTGAGTTAACGGGTCCGCAACTTGTGGAAGATCGCCGTCATCGTCCTCTCGTCTAGCGGCTGATGCTGGGATTGACAATGATGTAATAATTTATGTATTAAAATAAATATTAGTTAAATTAGAACATAACTTTACTGGATAAAAATTATTTATCAAATACTTACGCTCCATCAATAGATGTGAAGTGAGTAAAAAAGAAAGAAAAAAAAAAAAGGGATGAAACGAAAAATAATAAAGAAAGAGAAGAAAAATATAAAAAATGTGAGAATGAAATTATAATTATTGTTGTTTGAAAGTTATTTAAAACAAAATTATTATAGGTTTTTAATTTATTATTAAGTTGTTCATTAAATATGTTAAGATATTTTTCTTTTATATTTTGCCAAATATTGTTTTAATAAAAATATTTATTAATCTAATTTATTGAGGATAAATACTGTCTCAATCCTTAAAAATATTTTTTATTAAAATTATAATATTAAATACCTTAAAATATTTATGATGATTTTAATATCTTAAAAATATATGACATTTATGTATTTTAAGATTGACTGCTATCTTATGATTATTCCACGTAGGAAGGTATAGAATTTTCTCTTAATCCAAATTATCTTAAATAAATGTTAAAGAAAAGTTAAAGGTGCCGTGATAATATAAAAGAGTGGTGTAAAACGCATAGTCATTAGAAGGTTTGCTTATACATATATCAAATATGTCTACTTTCTTTGGTTTTTGTCTATTTATTAAATGTCACAGTGGCCCAACTCAGCAACAAGTGGCCCAGAAAGGCCCAAAGTTACAATATGATAAGGAGCCATACAATAGAGAAGAAATAATTGGGCCACTGACCACTATGAGAATGCTCCACCCATGTAACATGGCTTTCCCCAAATGTGAATAACTTTATATTGATTAATTTAGTTCCTAATGTTATTATATTTATTAATTTGATCCTTAATATTAAAAAGTAAATGAATTAGTATACATTAAAGTAAATAATTATATTAGTTAATAATTGTTGAAGCCAGGATTTAAAGAGTCTGAAAAATCAGCAATTGTCAATTATAAACATAAAAAAATGTTATTAAAAAAATAATTAAATTGATTGATATTTATAATTTAATGAGATAAATGAATATATTGTTTAAAACAAAGAAATGATTAATTTTGTTGGTATGCACTAGGAGTTCAATCGAGAGGCAAAGGTCGAAGATCTCCTCACAAATTCTTCTTGAAATGCACGATCAAAAATGAAACTACCATCAACATGTTTAAAAAATTCAACAATTGTTCAACTATGTCATGCTTTGGTGATTTAAGATAAATATAAACTCTAAATATTAAACCTTCTTAATGTTTATTAGTGGGCGCATTCACGATTTGACGTTGGGTTTACTTGGCATTTGTGAATGGGTAAGCACCAAGCAACTAGTCCCATTTTCACCCCGTGAGGTGGAGATCATGTTCAATGAATACTATCTGATAGAAAAGTACCAAGTTTTCTTTGGAATATGTTATCAAATTTTATGATTTTAGGCATATGAGTATTATGTGTTGTTTTAATTGTATTTTAAACATTGCAAATTGAAGAGTTTCACGTTTAATAATCAATAATAAAGTGTAAAAGGAATCATACTTCACTAGCAAATAAAGTTTCATCAAATGATTTAGACTTCAAAATAAAATAAGAATCTTGAGCAATAAAGAACAGTATCGTGTATATTAATTTTATATATAAGAAGCTCTTCAGCCCTCTAAAATTTGTGTGTTTTTGTGGCTGAGGACTAATACCATCAACGGAAGTGGGTTTGGCCGAAAAGATGTTCTTAAAGAGGAAATGAAATGTAAAGTGGACCACATTTGGACTGGTTGTTTTGTCAAATGGCTCTCAAGTTCTCAACCACACACACATACACATACACACAGGTCAACTGAAATTTTAAAATTGCATCACTTAGTAAGGACAATCATGCATTGTTTGGTGGGATTCTTATGCGCACGCGAAAAAAAAAACTAATAATGATCAAATTTTCATTTTGGTTTCACAAGAGAGCAAAGAAGATCATGATTTAGCAAACTTGCAAATGGCAAAACATATATAATGCTCTTTGTCCTTTTCATGAATAATGACAGCTTCACCATGTTTGTCTACTATTTGAACTCGATCATGATCACACCAAGTTTCTCATAAACCTTTGTTATGTTAGTGCAACAAAGCCTCTAATTAGATAATTCGAATAATGGTAGAGACAAATTGTTTGTCTCATCTCTCTCTCTCTCGAGATTTGTCATTTTGTAGCAAATCCAAATAATTTAGCTTATAGTTTTGTTCATTTACGAGACTTTCCTTTCTCTCTCTTTATTTTAGTTCGAACATTTTGCACCACCAATTGCTACTTGATGAAAAATGTTAACCAATTAATATTTAGCTAAAATAATATAATTCACAAAATTGTAATTGAATTGTATAAATAAAATTTTAAGTGCTAAATTAACAATTAAGTTGAAATATATCACGTCAATGCATGATTTACAAACTAATAACCCATCTGTTTGTCTCATTAGAAAACATGATTGAGAAACCACTAGCATTATTAAAACCGGTGAAAATTCTCATCACTGTACACGCGAGAACGTGAAACCCCATGCTTATATATCAATCACTAGTTAAAAATTTGATACCCATTAAATTTTTTGTCTAAATTGTTTCTTATAATTTATAAGTGATATTTATAAGAAACAATCTTACTCGAGTATAAAACATCAAGTACAGGGAAAATAATTCTTTTAATATAACTTTTTTCATATACAATATTTGAATCTAAAAACTTTCTTCAAAAGGATCGATCAAAGATATATGAATATTTGATCCTATTTTACAAATATATCATGTAATAAAGTATTACATCTACATGTACACAAAATTTGAATCTAAAAACTTGTTTAAAAGGATCGATCATAAATATATTAATATTTTATCTTGTTTTACAAACATATATCAAGAGAGGTAGAGAAAGAGGCATCTCATTTCAGAAAATAATAGTTTCATTATTTAAATATTAATAAATTGATATTATAAATAACTATTCATATTTTTCATTTTTTACACGAGAGATAGAGAAAGAGAAATTATATTTTAAAAATTAATAATAGAATTTCATTATTTAAATAGAATTTGAAACTTTATGGAAAATTAAATTTTTTTTTAATTGAATAACTTTTGTTGAAATATTAGATGGTGGGGGTGAGAAATGGGATGCAATAGGACTGAGCAAGGTCACAAATGACGTGTAGATAACGTAGTAATTTGCATACTTAAAAACCAGTATGCAATATTTGTGGCTATGTGAATTTAAGAGTAAAAAACGAAAAAGCAAGAGAAATAATTAGAGTATGGACCCTTGGAACAGGGAAATATTATTCTATAAAAATAAAAAGAGAAAGAGAGGGGTGATTTCGGCTTTTTGCTTTATATGTGTAAGAAAGGGGACAAAGTGGGCCGTGAAGAGGGCCCACCCCACTAGTTGTGTCCAAAAACTTTAAGTCACTGTCAAACATTGAAAAGCCCAAATAGAAAGGAGTTCCCTTTGCGTACAACTCTTACAGCCAACGCTGTCCTACAAACCGCCTATCTCACCTCCTTTAACTACTTTTCAGGTCAATACATTAAAAAAAATTAAACTCTTCTATTTTCCCCCTTTTTATTTCTCTGTTTTTTTTAGATATTATTGTACTTAATTTTCCAGTTAGTGGTGATCTCTATACTTTTGCATGAAATTTATAAGAAAAAAAAAAAAGCAATACCTAGAGTCTAAGCTACAATGGAAATATGAAAGAATTAGACCAAACATATAACATAAAATTAAAACCATCAACTCAAATAATCTTTGAAAAAAAACTTAGTTTTCAATTTATTATTACTAATGCTATCAATAAAACATATGAATAAATACAAGAGAGTTGTCATAAACATGAAGGGACTACGACGGATCTATGTACCTCTTGACTTCACCTGTCAAAATAATAAAACAAATAAAAGGTAACATTTTTAGCATTTTAATATATTTATTAATGATAGTTTACCAAAAATGTTTTTATTTATGATACTCTTCGTTTATACTTGGCATTCTGATTTTATCTTTAGCTATGTTTTTCCTATTAGACAATAGTTTAAATCATTGATTTTGCCTCTTTGATATTAATTCGTGGGACTATTGATTATTAACACTTTGATATGTCTATTTACACTCTTTACTTTGATAAGGTCTTATTTGAGTTTTCTCAGTACAAAAGGGAGAATTACATGAACTTAATCGTTTTCTATATCATATGCAATATTAAAAAGATGGTAAAAATAAAATAGTTATATATATATATATATAAACTATTTATTATGGAGGTGACATAATTTAAATGATGAGTTTTTTTAATAATGCGTCAAATAAGAACATTATGTTTAGTTAATATATTAAAAAGTTAAACTTAATATCATTTATTAAAAAATGCAAGGCACAAAATTTAAGATTTAGTGTACGTTTTGATTAATAGTTTTGTATTAAAATTTTATCACAAAATAAAAAATGTCATATGCTAACAAAAAATATTTTATGCATCAATTGGGATTAAACTTGGTGTGTTAGAATCTTTATCTAATGAAAGTTGAATATTAGTATAGGTATTATAAGTCAACATTCATATATTATATATAAAAAAATCACTCACTTAGCTTTAAGTTTAATAATTTTGTTATAATTATTAAAAAATTAAATATTTATGAGTATTTAATCTTATAATTAGTGTTATTTATATTTTAAAAATATATTATACATTAAAATAAATATATTAAATAAAATATCAAATAGTTTAAAATTTTATAGGCTTAATTTACATATTAATAAAATTTAATGTTTATAAAAAAATATTCCATGAATTAAGTAAACCCTTTCTTGTCATATATATTATTCCATTAATAAAGTATATATATTT